TTCCTCTCGTTCTTTTAGATGATCTAATACTTAATTATAGTACTTCTGTTCTTTTAAAGGTTCCAGAAGGAGAATTCTTAAAGCTTTGTTGATTCACATGTTTGTTAACTAATCCATAGTCGAACCTTCTATATAGTTGCTTAATCTCGTCTATCTTTAAGGTATGTGTATGTGAAATTCTTGTTTTGTGTCGTGATGCCTTGCTAACCTAACATAGCATACCCATTAAAAAAAAGACAACATTCGTGTCATTTCTGTTACACCGTGGTATATCAGGACGTCACTAATTGTGGAGCATTTTCTCAGCAATCATGAGTTTTTGGACTCTGTAAAATCTGAAACTCCTCTGGGACGCGTTGGAGAACTAAAGGCGGTCTCATCCTAAATAGCTTACCTTTGTCTCCCTGCGGAATCATACGTAGATGGGTAGATTATTGCGGCGTCATGATCCCATGTTGTTTAGGCGATAGAATTGTGTGATCCTTAGTGTTTTGCATCACATGTCCGTTGTAGGATTTATTAATTTATTTATTTTGATGACTAAAACTGCTGCAAATTACGGATACCAACACCTCTTTCTAGTAGTCTTCAACTTTCATTTATGCTATCAATCTCCATAACATGCTGTGATATTAGCTGTATAATACTGCTGTAAGTTTAGAAACAAATGAAGATACCGAGCTTGCCTTCTTCCTTGCAGTTCAAGTTCGCTTCTTGATGTTACAGATAATATCAAGAAGAGGAGTTTTTCATCAAGAAGAAGTCATATTTACCTTTTTGTGTTAATCAAGATCGATAAAAACTAGAAGTATAAGTGTTGAATAGTTGATAGTTTTATTTTATTTATTGTTATCTAGTAGGATAATATTAGTTGCTACGTGTATACTTATGGTTTTACCACATGACTTCGAAAAATTAAGCCAGTCACAATATAGTTCTTCAATTCATCTCTCATTATTTTTATTGTTATTCAAATTCTCATTTATTTTTATTGTTATTCATCTCTCTTGACATATAGACATATTAAACCAGTAACATGGCAAAAATATTTTCTTTCCCAAGCATGGTGTTAGAAATGAAATGAACAAAAAGAAAGTTCCAATAAAAATGGAAAAAGAGAGAGTCTTTTGACTCTGTATTACAATTCACAAGCATGGTGTTTGCCTTCTTTTTCAAGCGTTTTTTTTGCCCCCAAACAAGACTTAAAGTTTCATAAAAGAACAAATCATCATCGTCGTCAAATCAAAGTTAATAGAACAAATCATTGTCATCATCAAATCAGAATTAAATTTATTTTCACATGATCGAACATCATCGCCGGCTGTAATCATCAAATATAAGCTTCACAAAAAAAAAAAAATCATCATCAAATCACGAATAGAAGGATTAAAATTCACCTTGTCGACGGTGGCACCGGTTTTGGATTCTTGGTTTATCAGAGAAAAGTTTCAACAAGTGCCAAGTTTTCATGGGATAGACCAGTTCTCCAGTACTCTTTTTCTCATATACTCGTGTGGGTTTTGGGGTTTGTGAGTTACATATACTGTAAACTCGCAAAAAATGGCCAACCTCCGGCGTAGGGATCAGTGAATCTGTCAATTCATTAACATGAATTAGGATGTCATATTTTCTTAAAGAAATAATAAGGGTAGCGCTGTTAATTCAACTTATTTTCTATTTTGTAAATTTAGACAAATAAGTTACTGTCCTTCATAAAAAAATATTTTTTTGTCATATTTCTTTTACTAATTTAATATTTTCTATTGCCCTTTAGCTAAATTTTCCCTTTCTTTTTTATATGATGGCCTACATAAACAATAGTTTTCAACAAATTAAAAAAAAGTGGAAGCAAATGCAGAATGAACAGTGAAAAATTATTTAAAGTAAATCTGGTGGTAAGTAGCCCAAGTTTCTATGCCACTTACCACTAGTGAAGTTGCTCTTAGTATTACTACCTAACGTGGTTAAAACTTTCTATCCTAAATAAAAATTTTAAGTCCATCTTTCAAAGGAAGAAAAATTAAACTTAGTCTCCAATCTCCATTAACCAGATTTCTTTAAAAGAGAGAGTCAAATTCAAATCTCCATTGCCGGAAGCAATTTTTTAAAATGTCACAATAGCATTAGATAGTAGAAGACAGTTCATAACTTAAAAAAAAAAAAAAGAAAAATAAAATCCCATCTATTTTACAAGGCCGGGTCTTTATTTCCCCGGTCAAATTTTACAACATTATTCATGAACAGTTCTTTTGATCTCACTCCTCCTAGCCCTTCCTCCTTTTTACATCTATCACTGAATATCCTGTAGTAAAATGAAAGAAAAAATAAAATCAAATTTATATACTATAATAGACCTCATTTGTTATTTTATAAATTTACAGCCTTATTAATTGATATATTCATATTTAATGAAAAACTTGAATGAAAATGGGATTTGTACGCATTGATCTTCATTTTTCCAAATCACAAATACATATGGGAGGATTGGAAATTATTACCAAAGCCTTGTGATGACCACACTTTTGTTAAAATATATCATTTTGGGTATATTTCGATGTATACAAGGTTGTACGAAAACAAAACTAGAACATCACAATATTAACTTTAAAATGACAACTGTAATAGGGAAAAATGGAACTAAGTGACAATTTGAAAAATTTAACGCTCTGTTTGTTTCATTTTTTTACTGGATTTCTTTCAGAAATTTTATTAATGACTGTCTCATCTTAGCATATACCTTTTTACATTTCTAATTTTTACATTTTCAATAGAAAAAACACCTAAAAAAATACAGTAAAAATTAAACAAACATACCATAAACATCAAGTTAGAGATAAATTAATTAGAAGTTCCATTTTCATTATTTCTTTATAAAATGAAATTCTCAAGTTTCGTACAAATAATATGGATATTTAGTGCTTCGAAGACCTTTTTTTTTTCTTTGCAATTCTATAGTGATTGCATATTACAAAAAAGGATATTTAAGTTTATACTCCACAATGAATGATAATATTAGAAAAAAGTAATAGAACAAAGCTTAAGTTAAATCACAATGGAGACTGGGCTGTGTTTAGGACAGTCGGGAGTCTTCCTAGTTTTGAGAAAGAAAAAAGAAAAGTAGGCGCGCAATCAAAGCCATCCCCGCAAATTCAATTATTAATCCTTTTGTCAAATCTCGCATAGTTACGGTGTCACACAAGCATACAAATTAAGGCCTGACTGTGCAATATCGGTCCTTCGAGAAACAACTAGGCGTGCAAATTTCCAATTGTAGGGTCTACGTTGTGACACTGGTTTCTTCTTTTATTTTCTTTGTTTTCTTATAGATAGGATCAATCTCGACCACAAAACATCCGAGATTTATATAAAATATTTTTATAATGTCATAGTTTGGCAATTTATTACACTAGGAATTTAGTTGTAGCAGACTTGCGAAATTTGCCGTTACTAAGAGAATCAAATAATCGACTATAAATATAACAAAAATAAATAAATAATCGTATATAAAAGTATATCATGTATGAGCATGATCACTAAGTTAAAATATTCAATCCCTATCAAGGAGTCCTCTGATTTATCGCCGTATAGCCGTTCATGGATACTGTTTTCTTTTTTCACTGCTTTATTCTTTTCTCTTGCACATTTTCTTGATTTTGTCTGTTGTTTTTTTTTTGGGGGGGGGGGGGGAATTCTCCATATAAACGGTAACCTTAAAATAAGAATTCTGTATTCTTATGATCTTATCATCCCCAATTTTTCCACTCTCTTATGTCGCATAGATTTTACTCGTGAAACACACCAAATCATATTGTATCACATGTGTAACACAACACTTCGGATACAAACAAAAATGGTTGATCCATCAAGTTGGGCAGCGTGTCAGCACAATGCAGTCTGGTTATGTGTCCTCTTAGTATATAAAGACCACAAAATTATTAGGCTATATTTAGTCCTTCACACAATTGAATCGCAACCCTATCCAGCTAGTTCTCCTTCTTGCCCATTACTTGTTACTCACCTTCAAAATGGCTTCTTAGTTTGATAGGACTTAACAGCAAAAAGAAGCCTCATTGTCCCATAATTTCAATGCTATTTCCAGGTCGAGATAGTTGTTGCAGTATAGATGTATTGTTGATGAATGATTACTATTATTATAGTACTCGTTGTGATGATTGTCTGTCGCTGTGCACGGAGGGTGGCGTGGTTGCGCAATGCTTATGTACAAAGCACTGACATGTTAATGGAATGCTTAACCTCGCAGAGTGACTGATGCACGTATATCATTATTAAATATGCCGGCCGGAGCGATATGTCAGCATAGGTTGGATGGACTAGGTAGAGTTCATATATATGGCTATCGATCTTCTGGCCCTTGTGTGTTAATTGTTTTCTTTCGAAATGCGTGTTTTTCCTCAGCACTTCTGAAATCTATTGTAATATTTGGCACTTTCGTAGTTATGAACGCGGTTGTGTTTATTGACAATCAAAACCTTTAGTAATTGAAGAGCAAAAGTTCATTTCTAACAATTTTGTTGTCTCTCAACACTTATTCCCACGTATTGTACTCAAATGTGCCAGAAAAAAAATCACATCATAGGTTGTGAATGATACCAAAAAAACAATAGTATTCACAATCTTCAATATGGACAATTCCCCACCCCCCCGCCCCCCTCCCGACACAAAAGGAGTTATATATAGTTCACACTGTGATAGAAGATGCATGTAAGTGCAAACTTGTAGAGAAGTAAATTTCGAAACCAAGAATCTCTTAATTTACTGAATGATATTAGAAGTCTTGTGATAATAATAAAAAAAAGATCTAATTGTATTATTCATTTCCACTTGTTATCCGCAAGGTCTATGAATGCTATAATCCATTTGACCAATATGTGTTTGTGGTAAATTAAAAGCATGTTATTTACCACCTAATTTACTCTACCCATTTCATAGGCAGTGATGATAAAATTAGAGAAATGAAAGAAAACTTGTACTAGTGGATCGGCACAAAAGTTGAAACAATTATAAGAGAGTGTGGAATAAGAGTGGAGTATTTTGAACGGTGACATGGAAATTGATCATGACTAATTGTACCTAGGTACAACGCTTGGCGAAAATTTATGCTACAATTGAGTTGAACTAGAACATAACGTTGTTTATATCTACAGCATATACAAACAGAAAAAAACCTCAAGGAAATGGAAGAATAGTGCCTAGAGGCTAAAGCAATAAGGTTGTCCCCAAAACTAAGCAAAGCCTCAAAGAGTATAAGTTGCCTTTAGGTATTCCACAATATCAGCGCTTTCAAACATCTGGATCCCAGTATTCGGATCTTCCAAATACGGAGCCTGAAAATGCCCGACTTTCTCATATAATATCTGCCTTTTCGGGCTGCCCCGGGCGCAACTACGAAGTATGTGAGGTAACTCTAGCTCCACAAGTGTTTCCCTCACCACTTTACAGAACGGAGAAGCCTCATACGCCCAAATCTCAAGTGGTTCGGGTGGCGATTTCGCCGGTGTATAAGAAGAACCCTTACCCGTCCGACCCATCATGGCGAAACCCGCCGTCAGTGTCGTTAATAGACCTAAGGACAACAAAACGGGGACTTTTCCATCTCCATATTTCTCAACTAAGTACTTGATGATTTCGTCCGACTCGTACATTGCAATTTTCGTGTTGGGATCGACCATGTACGGAAACTGCTTCTTTCCGCCCATCTCAGCGACTTTTGGTCGGAAATTAGGTCCGTCTTTGGGACAAGGATAGTACAGCACATCAAGGTCTAAGATCGCAACGATTTCGCGAACCTTTCGACAAAAAGGGCAGCTCTCAAATTCGTATATCTCGATGGGTTTTTCCGGGCGAGGACCTAAATTATTTGAAGTCTCTTTTAACTTGAAATCGCCGACTTCAAGACCATACTTCCCAGGTGGAAACTCATTCTTGGGAATGAAATTTACAGAGTATCCAGAAACGAAAACACCGTAACCAAATCGGAGAAACAAGGCGAGGGAAGCCCCGATTATGTCCGATTGCTTGTCCGGCTGCACGGCAAACACCTTTGGCTCCGGAGGCTTGAAATCCGGTGGCGGCGAAAATGTAACATCAGCTGGAGCAGGAGGGGTTTCAGAGGACTTTGCTGCGGATAACCGTAGCGAATTGGCTCTGCCGTTTCCCGGACGGAAGTTTATTGATGGCCGGAAACTTGAAGGAGTCGTTGTGAAGTTGAGAATACGGACAGCCATTTGACTATATCTTAGTTTCAGTTTCTATACGAGGAAGACCAGTTTCCAGATAGAACAATAGAAAGTTTTAATATTAGAAGAGCCAAAAATAATTAGTTAAATACAAAGGCATCAGAAATCTTTTTCAAAAGAAAAAGCATCAGAAATATCTAAACATTTGAAAGAACATATGCACGTTGTGGAAGTAAATGTCTGAATGCATACACTTTACATTGGAACCGACACTCAAACCTGGTCTGCTTATAATAACACGTTGGTGTTTGAAGAATATTTCATTTCTCAATAAAGCTACTTATTGCATGATTATGAGTTGTTTTTTTTTTTTTTTTTGCTTTTTTATTTTTTGCTTAAATGGCAGATCTATTTACAGGGCTCCTACCCTATTACAATCCGTGGTTTAACCACCAAAATACACCCAACGGGGGAAAATTCAAGCGGGATAATTCAGTTGGATTTGTTGGATTTGTCAGCGCCAATGATACCATATAATTAATTACAAAATTACATTCATGACTAAGGATCACCGTCCAATCCCTGTCTAGTAGCTCCTGGATGGCTAGCAAAATGGCCTCATGCGTACACGGAGTAATGAGTTGTTTTTAATTGATGGATTTCTAAAATAATATTACCTTTATTTTTTTATATATCAAGCTTTAAGGTGAACCTAAAATTCGTTTGACTATAGTATTTTATTTCAAATATAACATTATTTTTTAAAAAAATTTTACCGTCATTTCTATCTACCCTTAATAGTATATATTAATGACGATTAGCTAATTTTTACTCCAAATTTTAGTTCTTGTATATTTCTAATGCTTTCAATTATGGGCAAGAAAAGTATTGTAGTAAAACATTTAAGTTTCAATTATTATTTTATTAAGAACTGTGTATATCTAAAGTGATAGATTAGAAAAATAAAATAAAAATGGAGGCGGTACTAGTTTCGGATAACAAAGTAACCTACAACACTTTACAATATCATTTTTGCCTTTTAGCATATCTGAAGTAATTAAGGATCCAAAATTTTTATATTCGTTATTATGAGATTTTATACTTTCCACAAACAAATATCACTTGTTTTTAATTTTGCCGAGCAGAGTGGGGAGCAAAAAACGTGGTCCAAAAGGAAATATCTATCCGGCGTTTGCTGAATCATCACATCAACATGTATATCACATTGCTAAAAGGTAATCACTGTTTCCAAAAATTTTGTTTGAGCATAAAAATGGTCCCTCCTGCATTATTCACCCTTTGTTTTGCATTGGAATTATCTGCAAATTATCTCCACAAAATTTTTATTCTTTTTTTCCGCATCAACGTTAAGTCTAGGCCCGCAAAGTAATTTTATGTTTCCAAATCGATTAGCTGGAGAAGCTTAAAAACTTGAACTTCACAATACTCATACATGGATATTAAATAAATAAAATGGCTAATAAATAATTAAAATCTTTGTGGCTTTAGGGGGAAAAAAAACATTGGAAGCGCAAGCCACGAATCTCAAAAATTTTCTCCGATGGAATCCGATATTGTGTTGTGCACATCTCCAAATTCTTTTTTTTTTGGTAAAACGGTAAAGTTTTGTATAACTTTAACTACAAGTCACTGTACAAATGTGTCCTACCTTTCTATACATCAAAACCCAACTCAGATCACCCCTAGTTTATGCAAAAAAAAAAAAAAAACCTGATTCTGAACCTTTACTCTTGTCTGCTTACACTGTATCTTCCAAACTGCCTCCTTTTTCATCAACTCAAATCTTGATATAGCATCTAACATTCCACTTCCACATCTTCTAGCATTCCTCTCTGTCCATATGCAGTAAATAATTGCATTAAGGCAGGCATACCACACTGTTCTCTTGATCTTGTTGTTTTTCCATATGAAACTAATTCCAGCAGCATTCAAACTGTGCATCCTCCTCGTGATTCCTAGCCAGTCTTGCATTTCTGCTATAATTGCCTGAGAATGTTCACAACGGAAAAAGAGATGATCTGTGATGTCTACATCATTCTGACATAAGCCACAAGTAGCATCATCAACTATCAGCTGCATCTGCTCCAATCTTTTTGCTGTCAACAGTCTTCCTTTCCAAGCCAGCCAACTTATGAAGCAGTGTTTAGGCAAGCTATAATTATTGCATATAATACTTGCTGGCTGATATTTCTCCTTTGATCCTCTTAGCCACTGATAACCAAGCTTAGCTGTGTAAGTTTGTCCACCATTTCCATGCCAGGGAACTTTCTGCACATCACCTTTTAACAAGTCTCTAATCTTCATCAACTTTTTCATATGCCAGCTGGAATCTTGAGGCACATTATACTCCCATACAGACTTTCCTTTCAGGTAGTATTCATGCATCCATCTTATCCACAAGCTTGCTTTCTGCTGTGCTAAGTCCCAAATTTGCTTACCCAACAATGCCATATTCCACTTCCTTGGCTCTTTTAGATTTACTCCACCCTCCTTATGCTTACAACATATATCTTCCCAAGAAACTAAAGCCCAACACTTGCCATTCTGCCTCTTTCCCCACAAGTAATTCCTGCAAACAGTTATCACTTGTTGCATTACACTCTGAAGGATCAAAAAGATACTGGCCCAATATGAGTTCAAATTTAGCAGCATAGTGTTGACTAATAGAGTTCTGCCATCATATGATAAGTTCCTAGAAGTCCAATAGTTAAGTCTAGCTGTGATCTTCTCCACCATCACTTGGCAATCACTCTTAGTCCATGTTGTTGGAGAAACAGAAAGCCCCGAGTATCTCATAGGAAACTGTCCTTCTTCAAAACCCATCACCTGTTTTAATTCTTGTATCTTTTCCTCAGTGCACCCTCCAAAATACATATTAGACTTCCCCAGATTGACTGACAACCCAGTGGTTCCTGCAAACTGATCCAGGACTTTTTTGATTACCTTTACTGTATTAACCTCAGCACCACTGAAAAGTAGCAGGTCATCCGCAAAACTCAGAGAAGTGATCTGTAACTTCTTGCAATTAGGATGTTATACAAATTGTTCTCTGCTTGCTTCTAACTTCAACAGTCAAGTAAAATATTCCATGACCAGCACAAAAAGCAAGGGTGACAAAGGATCCCCTTGCCTTAGTCCTCTTTTCCCTGGGAAGAAACCAGTAATGCTTCCATTCAAGTTAATGAAATACGAGCTAGTTGTCACACAGACCATCATCCAATTTATAAACTTCTGATGAAACTTGAATGCCTTTAACATTTCCATGATAAACCCCCAATGTACAAAATCATATGCTTTCTTGAGGTCAACTTTCGTCACACAGCTAGGATGAATGTTCTTTCTCCTGTACTTCCTGATTAATTCTTGTGCCAGCAGAATATTATGTAGGATCAACCTCTGTTGGATAAATGCTCCCTGATTTAGATCCACTAGATCAGGTAGTATCTTGCTCAGTCTCTTACACAACATCTTAGAGATACATTTATAGAATGTATTGCAGCAAGATATTGGCCTGAACTCAGCCGCATTCCTAGGAGAAGCAGTTATGGGAATCAAACTTATCATAGTTGCATTAATCTGTTTTAATAGTTGCCCAGTCTTGAAAAATTCAAACACAGCTTCACTGACCTCCCCTCCTGCAATATGCCACATCCTTCTATAGATACCACTGCTGTAACCATCAGGTCCAGCACTTTTATCTATAATGGTGCTTTAACCTCTGCAATGGTGAAATATTTAGTCAGAAGAACCTGCTGTTCTTGAGACAAATTAGGCCCTGAGTTGAATACTTCACTTCTTGCATTTGTTCTCTCTACTTCTTTCCTCAACAGATCTTCATAAAACTGTAGGAAATGCCTTTCAAGCTCCTGCCATTCCTCTACTATATCTCCCTGATCAGTCACAAAAGATCTGATCCTATTTCTATTATTCTTCTGTTTCATACTAGCATAGAAATACTTAGTGTTCAGATCTCCATCTTGTAACCACCTTTCTTTCAATTTCTGCTTCCAAACACTCATCACTGCTCTACTGCACGTAGAGTATACTGCCAATGTTGTTCTTTCCTGAACTTGTAATTCTTCATTCACAGGATCATCCATTAATGCCCTTAGTATCTTTTCCAGCTTTGCTTTCCATTCCTTCTCCTTTTCCTCTATTCTGCAAAGCTTTTCCTGTTTAAGTGTGTCGGCTTTGGCTTTATTCTCTTCTGTTTTTGCATTACGTTGTACTGCTTACTACCTTTAATCTTCTCCTTCCAAGTCTCCTTTGTAATGCCTTCAAATTCCTCATGCTCCATCCACATATTGAAGAATTTGAAGGTTCTTTTCCCTTCATGTCTACCACTTTCCCACCTAATCACCAAGGGATTATGATCAGATACTCCTGCTGGCATGACAGTAGTATAGCTAGTTGGATGTTGCAACATCAAATCAACATTTACTAGAGTTCTGTCAAGCTTAGCTAGGATTCTCATATCCCCAATCAGTTTATTGGACCATGTATACTCTTCCCCATCATAAGTATTCAATTGCCAAAATTCACAGTTTTCAATCATCATTTTGAATTTTCCATTGTCTTCATTGAGCTCTTGCCTTCTACCAAGTCTTTCCTCTTTACTTATTATGCAATTATAATCTCCCCTCATCAACCAAGCAATTCGACCGCCTTGCATTAGACTGCTTAGATCCTCCCATAATGGCTTCCTTCGTTGAACTATATGATCAGCATAGACAACAGTTAGAAGAAACTGTCTGCCATGTTCCTGAATTTCACAATGAATAAATTGTTTGTTGATAGTTATCACCCTCACTGTATATTTTCCTTTCCTCCATATAAGCAAAATCCTCCCCTTCTCATTATTGACATGGTTACTCACATAGTCATATTCAGTCCATTTCCTAGTCATCAGCTCCTGTACTTAATCACCTGTTAATTTTGTTTCTATCAATCCGGCCAACCCAACTTTATTTACATAGAGAAGGTTAGTAACCTCTCAGGGGGCTGTTAAGCCCCCTTACATTCCAGGAGATGATGCTACTCATGACTACTAGACCCTATAATAAGGTGACTAGTGTCCGAATAACAGATTTCATTTACAGACTTCATTTTATCACAGGATCTTCCCTCATTGATCCTAATCCCTTTGTGGTTCAGTATTTGTATACCATCCTCATTTTGTTCAGCCCTTCTTCTATTACTTCCACCACTTCTTCTATTACCTTCAGTATTTGTATACCATCCTCAAACCTTTTGTGCACATCTCCAAATTCGCTCCATTTTTTGCCAGATTTTCTTATTCGAAACCCGCACCTTTAAGATTCTTTTTTCTTCAAATTCATTGTTTATTTTTACTTGAAAATCATACAAAATCATTCCATGTTTTCAATTATTTTAAAAACTTTTTGAAATTGAAAATTGTGAACTCAAACCTTTTGTGGACATCTATCAGGTCCTCAATAATACGAAATGAGATTATTACCAAAACAAAAAAAAAAGAAATTAATAAAAAAGAAGAAGAAGAAGCTACATAAGCGGTTAAGGCGAACGTCGATCAGTCACTCATTTTTTTTTAAAAAAAAACAAATCCACCCTAGTGAATTTCACTTAACTGTAAGTAAAACTCTTTCTACATACTCTTGATAGAAATCGAATCCGTATCTAATACCAAGAAGCATAGCGTCTTAACTATTAGATTGTTTTTCAATTCCCAACAACCACTCATTTGCTTTTTTTGGATATATGTTTAGTGGCTGTAAGTCACTAATTTGCTTTCTTGAATCTCTTTTTACTTAATGGCAACCCAAAATTTAATCCATTCTTTAGAATTTAAGCATTCTTTGGTTGTTTCAATATAAATTCTACCTTCATATACAACATGCAACTTATTAAGATTAGATGTGAATTGCGTGTGATTGTTATGTAGCCGAAACTTAAATTTCATCAAGTGAATCACATATAATTCACCATACATCCTCTAATCCTCGTCTTCTAGCCATCAGGTGAATAAATTGCTATTTGGTTAGTTAGCCTCCAACTTTACAATTTTTCATGCGTATATATGATGGAGAGAGACTTTGACAATATCACTATAATAAAAGTCCACAAAATAGTTCTAAAATACGAAAAATCAATCTCAAGACTTGATTTAGGGACTCAACTATGTTTTTTGTATCTTTGTAATAATACATTCCGCTAGTGTCAATGTTAATAGCACCTAAATGAATCCATTGGAATCACAACATTAATACATATACAAGCCAATAAAATTGTATTAGAAAAAAAACATTTGAAATACTTTGTGTTCATAGTAACAATTTAATGGGAAAGACTAAGACACAATTACATACATTTCTTTCTTCCGAAAGAAAAAGGATTTTATTTCATGTCAGCTACTAAACAAATTCGCAATGTTTCAGCATCTCTGTGATAAATAAGGTCCATTAACCAACTAACTGTACATTAACTAAATATTCAAAAATTTATTAACTGAAACACGTAAAGGTGCAAAAATTTGGTCATTTAGGCAATTTTCATATCATTAACCTAATCATCTACTAGTTTTCTGACTCCAAAGAGAAATAGCACGCATTTTGATTCCTCGTTTACATAGATGTAAACCCTTTGCTTCCATCTTTGTTTTTCGTCCGCAATAGTAGGTATATCTAAGAATTATATATTTTTTAAAATTTATGTTACAGTTCTGAGTTTCACAGCGTATTTACAAAAGAAAATGTAAAAAATATCACTTCTATTTACAATATAATCTACTTTTAGACATACCAATGATTACACGAGGGGTCCTTATCATTGATTTCTCTTAATCGCCTTGACATATGAATTTGGTCAAATCTAAAGTCCATAACAATACTATAAGCAGCAATTATAATGTTTTTGTTGTGCATAAAACAAGGAAATGTTCTGCTTTTATTCAACCTCAATAAATTAAAAAGGGTGTTTCTCCCTGAGAAACTAGCATGGTAAATGAGAAGAAGTTTGTCATAGGATCCATGTGGCAGAACATTATCCTTAATGTTTTCCCCTTCAAATGGATGTGGTCGAGTTGAAATAGAAATTTAAAAACATAGTCGAGAACATTCTTTCCATCATTTTACAGATAAGTAGAAGTCAACTAGCCAAATATATGGAGTGGGTGAATAAATTTAACTATAAACTTCATTATGTAAAACTGGCAAATTTGTAAAGATTTTCAGTATATTACCTTCATCCAAGTCAATATATATAAACCCTTTTGGCCATCTCGTGAACCATCGAGTTTTTGAACGGAAGTTGCGCCGAAGCCATTAGGCTGAGGACATGTCTGCTTGGGCGTCACGCAAAAAAAAAAGGAAAAAGAAAAGAAAAAATATAAACCCTTTTGGCAGCCTATTATACCATAAAGTTATTTTTTGGTAGGCTTTTTAATAATAATTGGCTGCCAAGGCAGGGGATGTGAGAAACCTCTTCGATTCTTGTTGGTTCAAGCATGGTTTCATCAAGAAAACTTAGGAATATTCAACTCATTCTACCATTTCAAAAATCTTGGATCATCAATTCTAAATTCAAGAAGATTTATCAAAAAATCCAAAGGTTTCAACCCAATTGACACCTCATACGACGTCCAAAAGTGAGAAGGCAATAAGTCCTATTACTAGCATGAATTTCGGTGCTTTCTCTCCAGATTCAGTACTTCATGCACCTCATACGTAAACCATTCTATCAAGAATAGAAGGGAAAGTAGCAGGCAATCATTAATCAGTAACAACACATCGAACAAGGTCGGGTTTCAAGACTGATGAGAAGAAGAAGAACGAGGAAAGGATTCAAAGGAAGAAAGGTTTGAACAAGAGCTTATCGGAGATTGAATTTGAGGAGCTAAAAGGGTTCATGGATCTGGGTTTTGTGTTCTCATAAGAAGATAAAAAGGATTCAACTCTGGTTGAGATTATCCCTGGTTGCAAAGATTAGGCAAAGAAAGAAATGGCGAAAAAGAAGAGAAGAAAGTATCCGCTAATGAAGCCCCATGAGCCGTTCTTGTCTGTTGTCACAAGGCGGCCTTACCTTTTTGAAGCCTGGGAAATTTTGTATAGGAGAAAGGAAAAGAAGCCATTGATGTATTGGAAAGTTCCTCAAGAAAGAAATGAGATTGTGATGAAAGATACCCTCAGATGATAACCACATATTATGGCTTCTACAGTTTAGATGATGAACTCTTATCCTTGGTTTATGCAACTATATTTTAGCCTCTGTTTGATGCTACAAAATCAGTAACAGCACCTGAAGAGCCAACAAGACCAATGCAAAATTGAATGGGACAAAAAGAACGAAATAAAGAAGACTAAAAAGTTTTGTACACAATGATGATAGCTTCATCATTAGCATTGCAAATTTGTAAGTTTGGTCAAGTTTTAACTGTAGATAAGTGCTTTGGGATGAAGAAATGGCTATACGCAAACGAAGAAGTTCATTCCTCAATTGTTTAGGCTTGTACAGAAAAAGCTCCTAACTTTGTTTTTTAAAAAAACTACATACTTCATTATAATAACCGATAGTAACGAACATTCTTTTCATCATTCTACAAGTAGAACTCAACTAGCCAAATATATGGAGCGGGGGAACAAATTTAACTATTTGCTTCATTATAAGAACCGATACAACATGCCTGAGAGGCATACTTAAAAATTCAAGAAATTTAGTGTAACCATCCTAAAGTTCACTATGACTTTAAAATCTGATGTATGATCATTCCCACAATATTTTTTGAGTTCTAATTGTGTATGATTTCTTCCAAAAGCATAAAAGAATTGTCACATTTTGTGCGTATAAGTAAAAAGAAAAATTAATTTTGTGTGAGAATTAAGACATGTATATATACTGGACAATAATTATGTGACGGAAGGAGTATATATATATATATATATATATATATATATATATATATTGTACTAGACACTTGCTTAAGACCGAATTTTGTTTCTCGCATAGAGTCGGGATCAGAGTATTCACCTAACTGGCACCATAGAAATCTTGCTCAACATAAATAACTCTCAAGATTAGAACTTGTACATTTGTATAAACCTTAAGCACTACACCTTTAGCACATGTAAGTATCATTTGTATAATCCTTTCACAATTGTAAATTTAGATTTCACCATCAATGAGTTTTGGGTATATCTCATCTTTTGATTAGTAAATTTTCTCTTAACCAGTCAAACTATGACATTTTTATTTAGGAAAACTAACATTTTAGTCTTGACATTTGGAGAAATCCAATAAATTAGTCTCAAATTAATGACATACTTCAGTTTCACTCCAACTTTTGGACACATTGTGTCATTCTAGTCCCAAAAGTAGTGATACGTGTTTTCGATTTCGCAACACTTTGTTATTAAAATAAGACACATTTTCAAACTTGGGATCTAAAACAAAGTAGATCAATAGTTCAAGACTAGTCTATTGAGTTTCGTGAAACATTGGGACTAAAGTATTAAGTATTGTTTCATATTTATTTATATTTCATCACAAGTTACTCCAAAAAGTCTATAATCAAAACTTGTTTTAGTCTACATGCAAAGCTTAGTTTTGAATTGCACATAGCACACCTTTTGAACATTGGTTCGAGAAAAAAGTTCGTGATATGTCCCAATAGCTAAATATGGACAATTTTTTGAGACAAAGGTAATATGATGTAGGGAAATTTAAAATTTAATAATTTAATTAACCAAATTCTAATAGTCAGTGCAAACATAACATTTTCCTTCTCGAAATTATTGTCCAGTTTGAAATTTTATTTTTAGCTTAAATTATACTAAATTAAAGTGAAAATTTAAATTGGACAATAATTTTAAGACATGAGAAGTAACGTAGTCTCCCAACGTTATCCATGGAAAATTTTAGAAAAATCGAAACACAAAATTGGTATTGATATTATTTAAAACTAACAAAAAGTTTTCATGATTTCCGGACACTTTAATTTTACTTGGGTTTCCGACCTTTAATGAAAGTTACAAATTGAACCTCGAAAAAACCAAGATTAATTTCTGGACTAACAGTTTTAAACTTTTAAGGTTTCTCGAATTTGTGATGTGAAAAGAAAAATCAAAGGGAACCATTTGACATTCGAAGGGAAAGTTCTACACCTCCTCATTCTTGGTTTATCCTTTTGGAGACCTATTACTTTTATCGTCCCGAAATGATTGTGCGTGCTACATTTGTAATGAATTAAGAAAGAAATTTTAAATGAAAAATTTATCTCGGGGTAGGTAACATAATTTTTTTTGCCAATTCTTGCTCATAAAATACACTTCTTCGTCATTTAAAATTTCCAAATAATGGAGGACACATGAACCGAATTATTTTAAAAATTTTTATTGGACCAGTCATGAGATGTTTTTGTTTTTGTTTGGGCTTTTTGAGTTCATGGGCTTCCATCACAAGATTAAAACTTACTAATTTCTTTTCACGCGCGCGGTTCCAGGTTTGCGGGTTTAATTCAAATTCAAAAGAGGCGGTGGACTAAAGCGACGTCGTTCGGCCAGCTGTGGTTCAAATCACATTAATGATGATCATGCATGCATAATACGTGATTAGTGTTAATTGTTTCTTTGCAAGGGTTTGTTATCGGCGGCAATGCCTTTCTGTTTTCCTCTATTTCCGATGCCATTTCCGACTGAGGATTGATCAATAATGCTCAATTCATTTCCAAATTTGTCACAAAACTTCCTCAAACCTAGCATTTGGTATCCAGAACTTGCGAATTCTTGGATCTGTGAGATTGATGGTGCCAAATCGCTCAACAATTCTGGTGAACGACACTAGAGCTTCACTTGGTGAAACTATTAAGGATTTGGTAGCTGAGATCGCGAAGATGACAGCTCGCATGGATGTGATCGAATCGAGGATAGAGAAATCACAAGAGGAGAGGCAAACGAAGATTATGGAACGAAAACGCAGCATTAGACGATCCATTAGCTGAAGTTGAACCTCAGTACAGCTTACCATCCACAAACAGATGAACAAACTGAGAGGTTGAACCAATGTTTGGAAGCTTATTTGAGGTGCTTTTGCAGTTCATCCCCTTACAGTTAGTCTAAGTGGCTTGTCTTGGCCGAATGGTGGTATAATACCACATTTCATTCAAGTGCAAAAATGTCACCTTATCAGGCCTTGTATGGGTATCAACCAACTGGCATTCTATTAGGATCATATATCATGATGTTGTGATTCCTGCAGCATCAAAGATACTTCAATAGAAGCAAATAGTGATGCAAAAGTTGAAAGACAGCTTGATTAAGGCTCAGGAAAGAATGAAGTATTATGTTGATCAGTTGAGAACTGAGAGAGATTTCAGGTTGGGCAGTATGTGTATTTGAAACTGCAACCTTACATGCAACAAACAGTGATGTCAAGGAATTTTTTGAAGTTGATGTACAGGTATTTTGGCCCTTGTAAGATACTGGATAAAGTGGGAACTGTGGCTTACAGATTGGAGTTGCCAGTAGGAACCAGGGTTCATCCTGTGTTCCATGTTTCCTTACTGAAAAAGCACTTTGGTCCAGTGCCAAATGTCACTGATTTGCCTGATTTGGATGATTGTGAACAATGCTCCTTCGAACCTAAAAGAATTTTACAAAGAAGGTTTGTGATGAGAGGAGATGAAGAAGTGATTCAATGCCTGATTAAATAGAGAGGATTGGAGGTTAAAGCTGCATCTTAGGTAGATAGTACCTTTATCAAGGGCCAGTTTCTAGCATTCAAAACTTAATTCTTATGAATTCAAGTTTTGTTTTAAGGGGTGAGGAATGTCACACGTGCGGTTCCAGGTTGGCGGGTTTAATTCAAATCAAAAGAGATGGTGGACTGAAGCTACGCCGTTCGACCAGTTGTGGTTCAAATCGCATTAATGATGATCAATCATGCATAATACGTGATTAGAGTTAATCATTTCTCGAAGCAAGTAGTATAAATAGTCATTTTCAGCTAATAAGTGGTTATGTTTACCATTTTGATGGTAAGCCATTCATTGTGAAAGAGTGGAACGTGGAACAAGATATAAATATGGATGACATCCAGAGAGTGGCTGTATGGATACAATTACCAAAATTGCCTTTGAGATACTGGAATCCAAACACTTTGAGCAAGCTGGCAAGTATGGTAGGGAAGCCACTGGAGATGGATGAGATGATTGCAAGAAAGGATAGAACAACGTTTGCCAGACTGCTTGTGGAAGTAGAAATCAAGGAGAAGTTGCAAGAAACTATATGGTTCCGGGATGAGCATGGAAATCTGCAAGAGCAGAAAGTCAAATTTCAATGGAAACCAGAGTTTCTGAGAGGCTCGTTGAAGATCAAAGAACATGCACAACAAACATGTTTTTTTATTAAACCTAGAGAAATAGTACAATAAGAGATATTCGTAAAGTACTGGTAGTACTCATAAAAAGTAAAAATTATTGGTAATGTAATACTAGAAATCTGCATTGTTCAACCACCAAGTTGATATATTTATTATTTCGATGTTTTACATAGCTTTTACAATTTACATTTTCGTTGAATGAGGTTGCGTGAGAGGAGAAAACAAGAAAATGTAAAGGCGTGGTCCAACAAGATTCATCTGGATGTCTTCTGGATTTTCACATCAAATTCCCAAGTAAACACGACGGATACATGACATTATGACAACAGTGTTTGAATAATTTTCTTTGAGAAGAATATTATGGTGTCCCTCTCCGTTTATTTTTGTCACATAGCTTTTGTTTAGTCACATTTACCATGTGACATTTTCATTGACTTGAGGCTATTTTCGAAGGCACGTTCCCCTTTTTTTTGCAGAATTAAATTATTTTAAAAAAAATAAGCTCAAGCTTTTTGATAATAAATTATATATATATATGCGCAACATGTAGGTTATAAAAAAATTAAAATACGATGTTAAACAATAAAGACTGTAGAAATTTATTTTTATCATGAAATTCACTAATTACTTATAAATGTATCCATTGGCAAATTAAAAATAATAATTGCTGCAAAAGATTAAAATTGATGACAACCAAATTTATAGAAATTCATCATTGTGGACTAACTAAATTAGCACTTTTTTCTGTTTTAAATGATTGTCTAATTTTTATGTTATTTTTATTACAATGAGCGAATGAACAAACTAATCATTTAAGG